GAGGAACACCCCTCCCCCCACATGTCCCCACCTCTCCACCCCCTCGCCATATTCCCCCATACTACTATGAAACTACCACAGCCTGAGACACCACCCCGAGACAGTGGGAGGTTCAAATGGGGTTGGGGGTGGACAAAAAAAAGCAAAAATTATTTCAAAAAAGAAAAATTAATGTCTCCCACCCACTCTTCCCAAAAAAGAATGTTTTTGCTCTGTTTCAAATGAGAAGAAAAGAAAAAAAAATCAAATTGACAAGCGACAGTGGTTGGTTTTTGTAAATACTTCTTTTTTTGTTATATACAGTACAATACAAGCAGCAAAAGTATTGATTGCAGTGTGCCATTTTTCTATATAAGTTTCCTCTCCTTGCATATATATGGATGTAATGATTTGTTCATTTTCATGTTTGTTCATTTCAGCCTGAGAATCATTTCAGGCGTAGGTGTTTGTTGTGAGTTTGCCAGCTAGCTGATGTTTGCTGCGACTGGCTGCGTCCTCATAAGGCTTGCATCCTGGCTCTGTTCCCTTATCCCTTCAAGTGGGCACTTACTCATTTGACCCTGCGGATCTGGAAACAAAATTGGATCCGTGTTTGGTCGGAGTGATTTTCCATCCAGTTTATGCCAATGTTCCAATTAGCAAGGGACAAGTGCAGGAAAGTTGGCACAAGGAAAGGGGACAGTTTGCTTTCTGTGGGGACTGCAAGCAATCGCTGCACATACACTCCTGTGAGGTAGATGGTGACTGTACCACAGGAGAACACTATAGCATTTAATGAGCCCATCCCCATCCTCCTTCCCTCCATCTGCAACCTCTCCATCTCTCCACATACATACATACCGTAGAAGCACTCACTCACACGCTCTCCACATGGGCAGGCATTTAGCCAATCATAGCACAGAGCTCAGCGGGAGCTCGCTAAATTCTGTCCATCTGGCACCGGAAAGCTCACATAACATCCCTTACCAATGGCGGGCCTCTTATATTCCTCAGAAACAAGCTTCCAAACACATTTCTAATCATGTTTTACTGTAATATACGAGACAACTGAGATTTAAGTGCATCTGAAGAATGATGGAGCGCAAAAAAACTTCACCTGAGATCAGACTGTGAATCTTACACTGGAGAAAATACAAATAAATGCCACCGTTCTCCATTTCATAGAGGCTAGAGTAGTGCTCAACATCATCAGCACCTACTGGAATCATTGCACTTCACTCCAAGACACTGTAAATGCCACTGAAAGGTCGGCACAAGAAAGATATTGAAGCCATAAGGTATCGCTGCAACAATGATTCATGAACACAGTATTGCCATCTGTAAAGGTGTATATGAGTGTATTAAAGTATCCAAATAGTTTGTTTACCAGGGGTGTTGAAGCCTCAGGTTGAACCCTGTCGCTCACACGCACGGTATTGGCCCATAGATGTGTGTGAGTGTGTGTGTGTATTTCAGAAAGGGCGGGTAGATAAGTGAATGTTTGTGCCATGTGAAATTGACCCGGTGAAGTATAAACCAACACCACTACAGTGTGTAACAGCTGTCACAAGTACATCACAGACAGTGACTATCCTACCTGCCTCTCTCGCTCTCTCTTTCTCTCCTCTGTCCATCTGTGTGTTTCCCCCTCTCCACATATATCTTTGTGAGCAAGCAGTGGTTAATAAAGATTTGGGGTTCAGTGAATAAAACTGACTTTGAGAGTGACTTCTTTCAGACATTGCCATCAGGCATGTTTCCAGTAGCGCGTTCAGGTAGTGCCATTTGATTTCCTTAACAATCTAAAACAATATATCAGATTGACGATTGTTTTCATTGTAGATTAACTATATTATATTTACCATTAATCATTTATTCATTTGGTTTATAGGAGTCTATAAAATCAGAAAACAATAGAAAATGCTGATCCTAATTTTTACACTTTAATCACATCTTATGCAATTCATATTCATTTGCAAGGGCTGCAATCCACTCAGCTTCACCAGTTTCAGGGCTCTGCCATTGTGAATGCTGTCCCACTGATATGGCTTACTGACCCACTTAAATGGAAGCCATAGTTAATGGAATCAATTATGCTTTCTGTGCTTTCCTGCAATGACAAGTTGAGATTCGTGCAGTGAAAAACCCATTCATTGTGATCACAAGCTGAGAAAAGGGATGTGAAAATAGTCACACTTAAGAAGCTCTAACTAGTGAGTTTTTTTTGATAAATGTCTGACACAATTAATCAAATATCAAAATTGCTGTTGATTGATATTTTCTTAAATCAGGTAATCCACTGATCAACTAGCCATTTCAGCGTCAAATATTGAAACTGAAATATTATTAATCATTTAAGAGGAAATGTGTGACAACTTGTTCGTTAGAAGACTTTTTTTATCAACAAGGTTGCACATATCATATATCCAGTTCTTTACCAGTAGTAGGGCAAAACTAAACACACTTACTACTTGTACATTATTTACATTCCATTAGATTTTTTTATACATCTACTCCACAACATTTTTCACTTCACTACTGCTAGTCACTGTAAAACATTGTAAGCTGGTTTAACGTAGAAACATTGGCACCCCTGCTCTCTTAAAGGTCCAGTATGTAACATTTAGGAGGGTCTAATGGCAGAATTGAACATAATATTCATATGACTGGTCCCAGTAGTGTATAATAACCTTCATACAGTTATTGTTATACTTTAGTGACCTTATTTTGAATCATCTCAAATGCCGCCCATGGATTCTGCCATGTTTCTGCATTAGCCCAGAAGGGACAAACCAAGGACTGGTTTAGGATGGGAGTGTTTGCAATTCTCACAAGTTTTTCAGCCATTGCAGTTTGCCCTTGCAAGGGGAAGGTGAAGCAACAGAGTTGCAATCTGCAACTACACCGCAAGATGCCAATCAATCCTACACACTGGACCTTTAAAAGCAAAAGTAAACAGTATGGAACAGAATGGCTCCCATCAGTGTTATATTACATTATATATAACATTCATGTTACGTATACATTTTTATGAAAAAAAGTCAACTTTAAATTCATCATCTTCTGCAGGTCTTGTCTTATATGCAAGTCTTTCTCCCTCTTTTTCAATTTGTGATGTCACAGCCGAATGCGGAATTCGATGTTATAGCAGAATACTGAAATGTTTTTGATGTCAAAGTGGAATGCTCAAATGTTTGTGATGTCATTGCAGAATTCTTACATCAATGTGATGTCACAGCGGACTGCGGAATGTGATGTCATAGAACAATGCTCACATCTTTGTTATGTCATATAGGAATTTTGCTGTAATAGAGGAATGCTCATGGCTTTGTGATGTCACAGCTGAATACTTACATCTTTGTGATGTCATATAGGAATTTTGATGTACTAGCGGAATACTCATGGCTTTGTGATGTCACAGCGGAATACTTATTATTTGTGATGTCATAGAAAAATTCTCATATCTTTGTGATGTCATAACAGCATGCAAAATGTGATGTCACAGCGGA